GAAGGATTTGGGGATGGACTCCAGCATCACTCGGAAAAGGTAGGGCCACCACCAGGGCACACTGGACTGCTTCAGGGCCACCACCACATGGCAGAGCAGGGACAAGGTGTCTGCCTTTCCCTCCTTGCAAAAACAGGAATGGAGATCCTCCAATTGCAAAACCTGAACTGCCAGGGCTTTTCCTCTGCACTTTTTGCAGTCACAGAGAGATTTCTGTAATGGCACCACTGCATGGCAGAGGTGTGGGTGGGGGAAAGACCACCTATGGCACAGGGCAGGTGGGATCCTGCAAGTTACCCAGAAAAATGGGAACTGACCCTTAGCTGAGCTGCTCACACCCCATTGTCCTGAGGACCAGCACTCCCATGCAGCTGTTCCTCTGTTTCCTGTTCCTCATCCTTCACCCCACTGTGGAGCTGCACTCCCTCCTGAGCAGGAAAAATGTTGGAATCCAAAATGCAGGGAACTCTCAGAAGTTTGGGCCTGTAAGCCACAGCTTAGAATTAAACACAGGATTTGATTTGAGACCTTGGAAAAAGCTTCCAAACTTAAATGCTAGAACTAAGAATGTGGATTTATAGTTTAAAGTAGAGACATGTTAAGAACAGGAAAGTTTAGAGTTTCAGAGTTTAAAAAAATAAAAGTAGTTACAAAGGTAAACAAGAAGTTTAGAGTGCAATACTGTAGGTTTGTGTGTTATAACATAGTTGATTAAGAAAACTTATATTGTAGCATGAGTCCATAAGACAAAATAGATTAAGTTAAGGATAAAGGATTAAGTTAAAAGCATAAATATCCTTATTAGCAGTGTTTTATTGGTCAATAAATCCTTAAAAAGTCTTGCAACTGCAAGTCTTGCGACCTTCTGAACCGTGCGGTAAAGATGTGAGCCAAACTCACCCTTCCCACCTATGCAGAAGATAAGAAAAACAAACCACATCCCCTAAAACAGCTCAGAGGTCCCGTCTCTAACTCAATCTAAACTCCTTAAAAAATCCCATAGTGGTACCACGTGTCTCTAAGTGCTGCTCTGTGATGGTGTTTGCAGGGGTATTAGGATGAGGGAAGAGATGAGAATGTTGATTCCATGTTTCAGAAGGCTTGATTTATTATTTTATTATATATATTATATTAAAACTATACTAAAAGAATAGAAGGAAGGATTTCATCAGAAGTCTAGCTAAGAATAGAAAAAGAATGATAACAAAGGCTTGTGACTGACTGAGACAGTCTGGACAGCCAGACTGTTGCCACAGACTCTTTTTATGAAAAATCCTTTCCTTAGGATTTTTCCTCCTGAGAAGCTGAGAGGCCTCAGGAACAAAATGTAAACAATTCTTATCTGCTGCTGTGGAATGCAACAGGTGCATCTGTGATTGGTCTCATGTGGTTGTTTCTAATTAATGGCCAATCACAGCCCAGCTGGCTCAGAGAGAGAGTCCGAGACAGCTGCCTTTGTTATCATTCTTTCTATTCCATTCTATTCTATTCTATTCTATTCTATTCTATTCTATTCTATTCTATTCTATTCTATTCTATTCTATTCTATTCTATTCTGTTCTTAGCCAGCCTTCTGATGAAACCTTTTCTTCTATTCTTTTAGTATAGTTTTAATGTAATATATATCATAAAATAATAAATCAAGCCTTCTGAAACATGGAGTCAACATTCTCGTCTCTTCCCTCATCCGAAAAGCCCTGTGAACACCATCACAGACTGTGATTGGCCATTAATTAGAAACAACCACATGAGACCAATCACAGATGCACCTGTTGCATTCCACAGCAGCAGATAACCATTGTTTACATTTTGTTCCTGGAATCTCTGGGCTTCTCAGGAGAAAAAATCCTTAGGAAAGGATTTTTCAGAAAACATCATGGCTACACTGCTCCTCTTCTTCCCCCAACCAGGTTTTTCCGGGAGCTGACGGAGCTCAAGACCTTCGCCAACTACTCCACCTGCGACCGCAGCAACCTGGCCGACTGGCTGGGGGGCATCGAGCCCAAGTTCCGGCAGTACACCTACAACCTGCTCACCTGCGGCATCGACCGCAACTTCCTGCACCGCGTGACGGAGCAGCAGCTGCAGGAGGACTGCCACATCCACACCGGCTTCCACCGCGTCCGCATCCTCACCGCGGCCAGGGGTGCGCCCGCCCGGCTGGGAACGGGTGCAGGGGTGTTTGGGATGGGGTGCTGTTGGAGTGATGTTGTGGTTTTAGGATTTGCTTCAGAAATTTGGTTGTTCTTGTGATGATTCTCTGCTAGGTGTGTCAGTCACTTCTTTCTGTCTTTGTCTTGCTCCTTGGTGAGTATTTCTGTCAAACTTGGCATTCTAGAAGGGTGTTGAGTTATTGGGCAGATTCAAAAGATGCCTCTTGCGCCTGGGGGGACATTGGGCCATTCAGGTGTCTTTTGTCCTTTGAGACCTCCTCTCCTGTACCTGGTTGGTGGCTCCCTACCCCTTCCCTGCCTCCCTCCCCAGCAACCATGTGGTTCGGGTTGTTCTGTTGGAGCTGTTGCTGGATTCAGAGGTCTGTGGGCCAGAATAAAGCTCTGGATCCAAACCCTCCATCAGAACTGACTCCTTTCCTTCACCATCGCCTTAAAGCTTCTCTGCCAGAGGGAAAATTTGGAGGTAGAAGGCATCCTTTGAATCTGCCAATTGCTCTATGCCCTTCTGGAATTCCAGGATGACAGACAGTGCTGGAAGGGGGTTAGGGAGGGGAAAGGAGAGGTGACTGACACACCTGGGAGGGAATCTTCAGGGGAGGGACCAGGTTTCTGAAGCAAACCCTGAAATCCCAACGCAACAAGCCGCTGGTTTGTGACTCCTGGTGGTTGTTTTGTGCTGTCCAGAGACGCTGCACTCGCCCATCACGCTGCAAACCGCGACCAACGGGACCGACGTGTTCATCAGCTACCGCAGGAGCACCGGCTCCCAGCTGGCCAGGTGAGCCCTGAGGGAAGGGAAGGGAAGGGGGGTGGTCAGCTGTGAGAAAAGTGGGGAATGGGGAGGAGGGAGAGGCTGCCAAAAGCTGCAGAGGAAATGGGGACAGCACATGCACAGTGGACAGGCTAATTCCCAGTCCTGTCACCGCCGCTTTGTGGCCACAGCTCTCTTCAGAGAGCAGCAGGAACAACCTCCCCAGGATTCCTCCTGGGGAAAGTCTGCGAGAAAGCTCAGACAAAGAAGAAAATTCTTATCTCTACTCGCTGCTCCTGTTGTTTAGCACATGTGGAATGTGTTATGGAGATTGTTTACCAAAAGGGATTTATTAATTAGACTCTGGTGATGGTTGTTTTGATTGATTGACCAATTAGGCCAAAGCTGTGTCGTGACTGTCTGTAAGGGGTCATGGGTTTTTCTTTAGTATTTTATAGTATTAGTGTAGTATGTATTGTATATATAGTATACAGTATATATATAGTATGTGTTATATATATGTAGTATATATATATAATATAGTATAACTTAGTAAAGCAATTGTTCAGCCTTCTGAAACCACTGGAGTCAATGCACATTATTCCCTGGCCTTGCTACAATACCACTTTGACACTGAGCGACCTTTTCCTTATGCTCCTATGGCTGTAGGGGATCACAGCAGAGTATCAATGCCAGCTCCTTGTGTTCTCTGCATGTGCCCAGACAGCTGGGCTGGAGCTGGCATCTCATTCCCTGCTCCTCTGTCTCACTGTGTCTCAGCCAACGTGGTGAGACAGCAAATGAAACCTCTCCTCATGGTTCTGTCACCTCTTGCCACCAGCCTGCTGAAGGTCCACCTGCAGCTCCACGGCTTCAGCGTGTTCATTGATGTGGAGAAGCTGGAGGCAGGGAAGTTTGAAGACAAGCTGATCCAGAGTGTCCTGAGTGCCCGGAATTTTGTGCTGGTGCTCTCACCAAACGCGCTGGATAAATGCATGGAGGACCCCGAGTGCAAGGACTGGGTACACAAGGTAAGAGATGCCACCAGGTGGGACCTCTGCTGGTAGGGAGTTGGTGAAGGGCTGATACAGGCCATGAGCACCTGCACATTCTGTTCCTGCAGGAGATTGTGACAGCCCTGAACTCTGGGAAGAACATTGTACCTGTTACGGATCACTTTGAGTGGCCAGACCCGGAAACGCTCCCCAAGGACATGAGGGCTGTCCTGAAATTCAATGGTATCATGTAAGTAAAAGCCACCTGTGCCATGGGGCTCCTTGACACCTGGAGAGAACAGCTTGCATAAGGAGCAGCAAAGAGCCCAAGGGCATGGGGACAAACAGATGGGGGTGGCAGAACAGGTCAAAGGGACACTGAGTCACTCCAGGTGCTCCAGAGTTGGCAGGGAGCAAAGGTTCCCACCACATCCCTGCTGCTGGCGTTGTGCTGGGGCTCCTCTGGGTGACACAGGGACACTGCTGGGAGGACACACATCCTCAGTGATGCTGGCAGGTTTTACAGCTCACCTGGGTTTCTTTCCCCCCTGCTTTCCCTTTGTGCAACCTGGCAGCACCCATGGGGAGAAGGGAGCTCCTGCAGAGCTGGGGTGGAGGAAAGGGGTCTCTGGCTGGCCCAAATGAACTGAGCTACCTTGTGGCACCCCACACATAGCAGAAAAAGTAAACATCCCATTTTTCCCCTCGATTCAGGTGGTCCCACGAGTACCAGGAGGCCACGATTGATAAAATCATCCGCTTCCTCCAGGGCCGCTCCTCGCGGGACTCCTCGGCCGGCTCGGAGAACGGGCTGGACTGCCTGCACTCCCTGGGGCAGAGCTAGAACCAGCACAGCAGCCTCACAGACTCACAGGCAACCCCTTTTTTTTGTGTGGGGGTCCAAATTTATCCCTCCTGACTTTTTTCCTGTCTTTGAGAAAAATCCTGTGGCTCTTACTCCCTCCCAATACAAGCCCCCGGCCCCAGTGCTCACTCCCCCAGCGCCTGGGGAGCCAAGCAAAGCTGGACTCTGGGATCGATTATGTGTCTTCCATGTCCTCCTGTGGGGTGTGAGGGAGACTGGCACCATCCAGAGCCCCACAGGCAGCTGCAGCTTCCCCCAGAAACACATCCAAAGGGGGAGAACCTTTGGAGGACTGAAAATTGGAGAAATGTTGAGAATCCGTCGTAAGAGGACATAAGGGAGAGAAGAGCAATTGAGAGGAAGGTGAGGCTCTGCTGTGTGCCCCAGGAGTATCCTTGTGGTCAGAAAATGAGAGCAGGAAAGGGCAAATAAAAATTAAGCCCTAACAAAATCTTTGTGTTTGGGAAAGATAACCCACAGGGGCCTCCTGAAGTGCTTTATCTTTCCCAGCAATGTCCCTTTATCACAAGAGCTGCTTCCCTCCTTAAAGGACTTCCACCTCCCAGTGCTGCAAAACCACTTTGTGCTCTTACCTCTGGCAGTGGGAATTTGGGGTTAGACCAAGTGAAGCTTCTGCAGGATCCCTGCAAAAAGTGCTTTTAAAATACCCTCCTTGCCTCCATCAGAAGTTTCAGCTTCACCACTTTATCAGGTCTGTATTTCCAGGGCACTGGAGGCTGGATTGTGACCCTGGAAAACTTGAAATCCATGCAGGGAAGATGCTAACTGCTGTGCTTGTGGAGTTATTCCACACTGTGGCTGTATTTTATCCTGCTCCACAGCTGTATTTTATCCTGCTCCTGTGGTCTGTGCCTTCAGCAGGAGCTGGTGAATCTCTCTGCTGACCACCACACCCCCACAGCCCTGCCTGAGCTCCCTGGGGCTGTCCCTGCTCACTGCTGGATGCAATTCCAAGCAGCACTTGCTTCTTCCTACCAACCTCTTCTCAACACCCACCTGGGCTTTTTGCAGCTCCTCACCTTAAAATATCCAGGAAAAGGGGAGTTTTTGCAAAGGGCTGGCAACGGATGCTCCAGGACCATCAGTGTCTGGTGAGGAACCATGGGCATCCTGACACAAATCCCTGCGTTCCACACTCCAGGCTGCTGAATCACCTTGCAAAACAAACAGGCTCCTCTTCCTATCCTTGCTCAAGAAGAACTCAGCTTTTTCAGGAGGTAACAAGGAGTCTCAGCCAGCTTGTCCTCCTCCTGGCTCTCCCTGGAGCTCTGCTTTAACTGTCAGGAACACAAACACTTTCTTCTTTTGGCTTGGATCCACAAACATATCAGGGGCAGAAAACAAAAAAAAAGTTAATTCTGGTGCTTTATGGATAGTTCTTATCAGCTCCCAGTTAATGGCATCTTTGCTCTCCAGTGAAAGGTTAATAGCCATATTTGCCCAGCATTCATCAGAATTAGAATCCATCTAATCTCCAGAATAAATAACAAGGAGGCAGCAGATGAGCCCAAAGGTGAATCTGCCCAAAGATAAAAGCCTCTTGTGAGCTGCTTCAGGGAAAAGCCTTCAGAAACTGAATGTCAGGGCCTCCATGGCCACTGAAGGAGCCCCACACTAACAGTTCTAAGGATTTTCCTCCTTGCAATAATCTGGTAAGTGATTGTGTCTCGTTTCCCAGGAGCTCTGTAGCAATCAGCCCCCTCACCCAGCACTCAGTGGGGAGATTTACTCATTCTCCACAGCTCAGGTGTCTCACCTGACACAAGATCCCATCTCCTGCTCCAGCTGCCTGGACTGTGACTCCTCCTGCTTCCCCCATCATTATTTTCACCTTAATGAACTTGCCCTGCTTCTGGCAAAGCATCTCAAACCCAGCCCCTTCCAGCTGGAGCAGACCCAAGGAAATGAATTCCTCTGCCCTCACCCTCCCTCATTCCTTTGCTCTGCCACGTCAGAAGTGTTTGGAGTTAATCAATCAGGCATTATTAATAAATCTGGTTTTTACTTTAAATCCCTTCCTCTTTCTGCATCACGTGCTTCTCTCCCTGCAGGCTTTTCACACTTGCCACCACAAAGCAGAACTGACATTCCCAAGCAGGATTCCTGCAGGAACCCCTCACTTCCCACTCACCTTTGCATGGACTGATGCCCTGCACCCCCAGGGACTCTGCCTGCTCTCACCAGCCATGGCTCCACTGTTGCAACTCTTGGAGGGTGGCCCAGAAAAACTCTGGTCTAATTTTTTTAATTAGGCATAATTGCTGCCATTGAATGTGTCCCCCTGCAGAGCCAAGTATCACCTCCCTGCACAACTCTGAGCAGCTGAATTGGCACCCAGGGGGTAGAGAGGGCTTCACTTCACAATCAGCTCAGCCACAAACATCTACTGCAACGTTCACAGCATGCCCTGTTCCTCAGGGAGGCCAATTCCAGGCTGAGCCCAACTGTCAGCCCTGTAACTCCAACCTGCCCTGGCAGAACTGCTTGGGGCAAGTGGCATAACGCCGAGTTCTTCAAGCCTCCCTGCTTCTCTGCTCCCCAGTTCTGCTTCTGCCACAAACTCCCAATACACAGGGACAAAGCTGGGTTAAAGCATTTCACATTTTCTGCACACTGAAGGACAGGTTTCAGACAAAGCTCTCCTGCAAGCTTTACTCTGGTGGTCAGGAAAAGCAAGTTTTGGCTGATGGCAAGTCCCAAACCTGCATCTTCCCTGACTTTTCACTTTCACACACTCATTCTCCATGAGACAGATAAATTCCTGCTGCTCCTTTTTTACTGCAGTCTTCAATAAAGGACTGAGAGGTAAAATAATGGAGACAAACCTCCAATGAGTCAAGGACAAACGATATCAACAGCTGCACAAGATATCCAGAGTTTTATGAACCATAAAAGAGCATGGAGGTTTTATTCAATCTGAAAGTAAGAGGAAAGTCATTACTGCATGTACCTGAACAGCATGTGCAGTGCAGTGTACACAGAACTGCTGGTTTATGGCACAGTGAAGAGAAAAAAAAGGATTGCAGCAATACAGGTAATGCTTTGGAAAGAACAATTTAAGTACCATGGACATGGAGTTTGCTTGCTGGCACCAAGAGATCCCAGGACAAGCAGCACTGAGGTCATTAACACAAGAATATGCCACATACAACAAAAAAGATTAATCTTAAACACACTAGTCCTGTCCCCATCTTGCTGGGGAAGGGCTCTGGATCAGCACAGCAAGGATTTCACATGATTGGGGCTCAGATCTGCAGTGTAAGGGGGGAACAATTCTGACAATTTTCTCCTTAACTTCATAGCTTTTGGCCACTGTCAATTAAGGCACCTAGAGGAGTTGCTCCAAGGATCCTCGTGGGTCCCTCCCAACCCAGGATTTATTCTACTGGCCCTGCAGTATTCTCAGATGATCTGTTACTTCTCAAAACCACCTCTGAGATCCTGGGCTGAGCTGCAGACAAGGCAGGACATAGCACTGGCACTCCCACCAACACTTCATGAATTAGATCCTCTTCTTAGGACACCTCTGACTTGCACAACTAAAGCTGGTTCAGTCAGTAAGGACAGCAACAGCACTCCTGTGCTAAACCGCCCCTCTCCATAAGGAGTTTTGTGGTCTGGCATGTCACATTTGCGGGGTTTTTACTGGCAATGTGATGATTTGGAGCACAGGACATTGTTGGGTGCCTCTGGTGCAGCCTGTGCCTCACCCACACCAACAGCTCATCCCTGCACACTGGAATACCCTGAGGGGAAAATGCTCAGCAATTACAGCAGAACTCAGTCCTCTCTCCTCACTAAAAGCAGGGCAGAGCCTTCTGGCCCCACCAACCCCAAACCACAAAGCAGCTTTGCAAAAGGCCCTCAACAGCTTGATTGGCTCTGGGGTCTCTTGGGTTTTCTCTGACAGATGAGCGAACACAACACAGAGGAGCCATTCACAGCTCCAAATCAAGTTCCTCCTGTGATTTCCAATTATTTGGCATTTAAAAGTCAGTAAGGACAAGCAGAGTGTCCCTCCCACACTGATCAGTCCTTTGAGGGAAGAATGAAGTGCAGTGTTCAGGTGGACACTGCAGTGCTGGCCAATTCCTTGGCGTTGAATTCAGTCTTTTGTGGGGGTCAGGGAAGCCTCTTGGAAGTGGTTGTAGTCGTGTTTTGAATCCCAGATTTGTATCCACCTAGAAAAGAATGAACAGTTTCAGCTTCCAAAGTCAAATGAGGATGTTGCTGAATTGAGTGAATCTTAAAAGTTTCAGAGGAACAAAATAATATGACCCTGCCAGGAACTGCTGCACTTCTGCAAATCCAAATACATTCCCTCTCCCAGAACCTACCAGGGGATTTGTTTTCTATCACAACAAAACTTCTGCTTCAATTACTAAAGAAATTACAGGAAGAGAGACTGCTGAGAGAGCTCCATCTCTACCATGAAGAACTTTCAAATTCAATTCCAGATTTTGGATTCCATTGAGGCTGCAGTGAGGCTTTGGAGCACTTTGAATATTGGCAGGTTTATCCCTAGGATTCAGATTCCAAAGGAAATTACCTACACCTCTTTTTGACACCCTCTCATAACCAGAACTGAAAATATGCCTTAAAAAACTGCCAGCTTCTATCCTAAGAATAACACAGTATTTTCCATATGACATTGCATGGCAAATTTTGGACTTTTGAAGTAAATTACCCAAGGATAGCTGCTGGAATAAGGAGGATTATAGCCCCAAAGAGAAATGGGAATCCCCTCATGAAGTGCAAGGTGGCAGGGTAGAGAGAGTTGAACACTCCTGTAGACACAAGTGAACACAGCCCTTCCACGCAGGCAACAGAAGCAAAGAGAGCACCTGGAAAAGAGAGATAAGAGGTTAATGATAAGATAGACAGGCGGTTATTGCCTGTAAACAGCTGTAACACATCACCCTCAGTGCATGCTGCCAATCTTTCCAAGGGTTTGCACTTGCCATCAGAAAAGTGTGTGAATATCAAGCGTGGTAAGGTAGGACAGGGCTGGCCTGGCATATCCAGCCTGTGGCCATGACCACCTCACCAACCTGCAGGATTTGTATCAGGAGATGGCCAGGACATTATATCAGCTGGATTGTAAATGCTCCAGGCCAGGGCACCTCTTATCACTTGTTAAACATTAAGTACAGCACAAGATTTAGCACCATAAATGCGCTGTACGTGCCATTGCCGTCCCAAAATAAGAAAGCTGAGTATTGCAAAATCACCTCTCCATTGCTGCCACCCAGATTCCCTCCTCCCCATCGGCCCCAGAGACATTCCTGTGCTGTGTTTCACAGCAAGTGCAAACCCTCCAAACACAGAACTGGACAAAAGGCAAACAAGCTCCTCCTGTGGGTTATCCGTGATCTTTCACCGTGGTCAATGATACAACCCTCCAACAGCACCTGGTTCTCCCCACTGTTACTGATCTACAGAGGAAAGTTATGGTCAGGAGAATGACTCTTTTCTCCTAGTTATATAATCCATTTTAACTCTTGCTCCCTGTAAAAGTTTTGGAAATGAATGTATGGATGAATGAACTACTCCTGCTTTTCTTCCTTTGTTCTCATTTTGGAAATGCAGCGAGTCTGAATCAAAGAACGACAATTATTTGGGGGGAAAAAAAATAAAATTACCCTGGGCCTGAGGGTGAACGCAGGGGCACAGGAGTCTGGTTTCAATATTTCAAGAAAAAAGTGTTTCAGGATCTGGATTAAGCACAGTGGTTAACTCCTTACCTTGTTCTGTCTCACTGACCAGCTTGGAGAGCTTGGATCTGATGACTGGAGTGGCTGCCATGGAAAGGAACAGAATTCCATAACCTGTGAGCAAGACACAGCACATTAGGGAAAGCTCACCTGAAAAATAAAGCCTCCCAAGTCAGCCCCAGAAATCTGCAGCTGCTGGCAGTCTCTCCCTGCTATATTTAAACACAGTTCCCCCTCCTGGATCTCATAAGGCACTTTGGTCTGTGTGTGCAGTATACCACAGTTCTGGGAAGCCTAATGTTCTAGGAACTACATGGATGCACTTACAAATTCAGTGTTTTGACAACGCTGCCCTTAGCAGGGCACAGTTTTGTTGGTGCACAAGGCAGAACAGGTTTGCTGGTGCACAAGGCAGAACTCCCTCACATGCCTGAACTCCCCGTGAAGCACAGTACCAGAAACAGGGATTTCAGCCCTCAGCATCACCTGTAAACATCAGTGGCGTTGTGGTAGCAAGAGACATCACCACCAGCCCAGCAATGTTGGAGAGCAAGCCTATCTCTGCCACCCAGGTGTCCTCAAGGCAGAGCTGCAGCAGCCTCAGCCCTGCCAGGCTGCTCAGGTACGCCAGGTAGCTGGCGGCCGAGCCGTACCCGATGAGATCAGAAGCCCAGCACAGAGGGAAGCCCAGCTCGTACAACACGTAGATGTCCCTGGCTCCAAAATGCACCGTGACAATCAGAAAGAAAGCCAGGGAGTACAGAGCCAGCTTCCACCTGGAGCTCGGCTGCTCGGGGGCCGTGTACAGTCTGAACACAGCCTTGTAGTGGCTAAGCGTGAACAGCTTGGCCTCCCTCTTCTGCTTCACCGACTCCCGCAGGAAGAACGCGGCGTAGAGGGTGGCAGCAAGGCTGGCAGCAAAGGCCAGCCAGAAGGGGTTGATGTAGCCCTGGGCCTTGCGCCACTGGCCGCCGCCAATGCTGGCCACCATGCCCGCGGTGCCCAGGCAGGCCTCGAGGATGGCCACGCGGAACGTCCGCGCGCGCCGCTCGCTGGTGTCGGCCACGTAGGAGAAGCAGCCGGCCAGGATCAGGTTGTAGTCGCCCGTGAGGCCGCTCAGGATGCGTCCCAGGAGGAAGAAGGCGACGTGCAGCTCCAGGTACATGACCAGCAGGTAGATGGCTGTCTGCAGGGCCATGCCTGCTGCGGGCAGGATGAGCGCCGGGCGCCGGCCCACGCTGTCGCTCCACGCGCCGAGGAGGGTCACGGAGAAGAGGCTGACGAAGAAACCTCCCAGGTTGATGTAGAGGTTCCAGTGGGACACCAGAGCTTCCACCTCCTGCAGGAGACACAGGCAGCTGAGGAGATCCGACAGCACCCACCGGGCTCCCCACTCCTGGCGCTCCCTGTTTCCATCACATTCCCCTTCCCCTCAGGGCTCCCTGCTTCCTTTGGGGCTTCACGTTCCCTCCTGATTCTGCTTCCAGGGACTCTCAGCTCCCCTCAAGCTCTCTGTTCCCCTTGAGGCTCCCTGTTCCCCAGGGCACCTCTCCTCCACTGCTCCCCCAGAGATTCCCTCTCCCCTGGGATCTCCTGCTCACCCTGAGCCCCCGCTCCCTCCGGGGCTACCCAACCCCACGGACCCGTCTTTCCCCCTGGCTTCCCATCCATCCCGTGCCTCCGCTCAGGGCTCTCCCCCTGAGCTCTTCATCCACACCAGGGCTCTCCGGTCCCCCCGTGTCCCCCGGTGTCCCCACCTGCCGCAGAGGGTCGGCGGTAGCGTTGCCGTCCCCGCAGCCGGAGGAGGAGTCGGTGCTGTTGCTGTTGCTGTAGCCGTGCTCGGCCCCCAGCCGGTCCCACAGGTACTGGGTGGCCAGCGGGCCCTGCAGCCCCAGCGACAGGGTGGCCAGGAACAGCAGCGGCTCCACGGCGGGCAGCGACAGGCGGCGCCGGCCCGGGGGCGCCGGGGGCTCGGCGGGCGGCGGAGCGGCCATGGCGGCCATGGCGGGGCGGAGGCTCCGCCGGAACGGGACTGACACGGCTCCGCCCGGGATGGCACTGACACGGCTCCGCCGGAACGGGAGTGACACGGCTCCGCACGGGACGGGACTGGCTCGGCTCCGCCCAGAACGGGACTGTCTCGGCTCCGCACGGGATGGGACTGACACGGCTCCGCCCGGAACGGGACTGGTTTGCTCCTCTTGGGATGGGACTGGCTTGGCTCCTTACGGGACGGGATTGGCTCTGCGCCGCTCGGAACGGGACTGGCTCGGCTCCGCCCGCAACGGGACTAATACGGCTTCTCTCAGAACGGTCCAGGCTCCGCTGTGCCCGGAACGGGACCGGCTCGGCTCCGCTCAGAACGGTCCAGGCTCAGCTCTGCCCATAACGGGACCGGCTCCGCTCCCTCCGCCGGGACCGCGGGGGCTCCCGAGACCCCTCGGCGCTGGCGCTGCAGCGAGCCCGGCGCTAAAGGTGCAGCTCTCAGGGGATGATGTTCCACAAATCCTGTCATTTTCGAGGCGAGAAAAGCCCCCTGACAGCATCGACTCCACCGTTAACCCAGCACGGCCAAAGCCACCTCTAAACCGTGTCCCCAAGTGCCACCACACCTTCACGCAGTTAATACCGGCAGGAATGGGGCTCCACCACTTACCTGGACAGCCTGTGCTAGTGTCCCTCTGGATGAAAAACCTTTAATATCCAGCCAAAACCCCCTGACATGCCTTCGTGCTGCTCCCTCGGGTCCTGTCACTGGTCACCAGAGAGCACAGAACAGCCCCTGCCCCTCCAACACCCTCATGAAGAAGCTGCAGGATGCCATGAAGGCTCCCCTCAGTGTTCTGCAGGCTCAACAAACCAGGCAAAACAAAAATCAACACTTTAACTGCACTAAGATCAGCAAAATACTGCGTTTAGCAATATACAAACACTTCTATTAATTCACAGTGTGGTAGAAAATGCTGCATTTTATAAAGAACAAAATATCTTAGAAACTCAGTTAATAAAGAAGGGTTTGGCTGTGCTGTTTGCTTTTCTGTGAGGTTTGGCTGCCTCAAAGAGCAGATCAGGAAGCAAAGACCAAGTTGTCCTTGAAATTCAAAGCACACAATTCAGAGTATTGATTTAACCTCTTTATATAAAGTGGAGCAGTACCAAAATAATGTAAATTGGCCTCGCTCCTCTGACAGCACCGAGCTGCTCATGGGCCACAGGAAAACTTGGACAAGATGTAAACCACTCATTTTGCAGTAAAGCACTTCTAGAACTCATTTCTAGCGTCCTTGAAAGTGTTGTGACTCACATGACAGTGGCCACCATCTCTGTGGAGCTGCTGCTTTTAAAGGACAGGCACAATTCTTCAGCTGAGGCCCTTCCACATTGGTATTGACACTCCATAAATGAGGCTGCAGCTGGAGGCCAACATTTGTGTTGCAGAGATACAAAAACGAGATGTTCTTTTAGATTTCCATCACAGCCTTAGGGCATAAGAGTAAAAAGCAGAAAAACGACCTTGCTGTTGCCTGCTGTCACTGCACCTTGTCAGGCAGTAATTAAACATTTAATGGATGCAAGATGTGGGGGAACAGAATTCATTTGAAATCTCTTTCTCATTTTTTTATGTACCATGGGTGTGATGCTGAAGCTCGGGGTTGGCACCAAGAAACGTGATGCTGTTTGTTGTGAGCAATGTGCCCAAGTCCACCTTGCAAATCTGGCAGCTGATTTTCCATCATTAGCACATTCTTGAGAGAAAACAAGCCCTGGCAGAAAAGGGGGAAGAGGCAGAAACAGCAGAAGTTTTTGTGGAGCTGACATCAGATGACCTGGTGGCTGTGCTTCCCTTTGTCTCTCTCGAGTAAGATATAAACAGTACCAAGCTGATTTATAGCAATCAAATGGAAATGTTATCATCATTAGCTGGGGAATGGACCTGGATGATTTAATAAAGCCATCAACACGGCATTAATAAGAAATTACCCTTTGGACTTAATTTATTTTATTTATTTTATTATTGTATTGTATTATTACTTTTATTAATTTAACCCTTTGGATTTAAAATGTTTAGTACTATTCCTGTTAATGTCTAGAATCTAGTGATTCACAGCCTGTATTTTGGAAGTTGCCTGCAACTGGGACAAGAATCATTGCTAATTTCCCTGTAGCACCTTTTTCTTCTTAATTTTCCCCATCCCCAATACAGCCTGCAAGTTCCCAAAGCTGTGCCTATAAATCTGCAAGATCAAAAATGTGGGAAAAAATTTAAAATAACCCAGTGTTTGCAAAGAGATCTCCAGTAGCCAAGTGTTTCCTAATCCACTAAGACCTAAGGTAAGGACTGTCAGTCCCTTTCTGTTTGGGGACTTGATGGTGACAGCAGCTCTGACCAGTGGGTTTTGCTACCCAAAGTGAATTTTTCAGTGAACAAACATAAACATCATAAACAATTATCTTTATATAACATTTTACACTGGTGTTTCTAATCCATGTATTTGAGCATTACAGGTGCTATCTTCAGTGTTCCCCCATATTCTTTGAAAATTGAAATTATTTTTCAACCTGTTTTGGAGGGAGCAGTTTATTTTTTTTTTTTTTACCAGGAGGAATAACAGCACCTATTCAAAGAGGTCATTATGAAAGAGCAAATCATCAATATTATACTTTTAAAAGTGCAGGTCATGCTTTCAAAAACCCGCTTGCTCCACAAGGAATTAATTCTCCGCCAGATTTATCATCTTTCTGCAAGATTCCCTTCAGAAAGTTCCTGCTCTGACACTCTTCTACTGTCTCCTCCCTTCTTTGTTCGCTTCCTTCTTTCTCCGATTACAGTTCCAAAAACAACACCCAATCTCCCGAGGTCAATGGTTAATATTCCCTGGTGTTTATATAGGCTCCAAGAGCAGATTCCAGGCCCTTCAGCACTGGGCCAGCTCCAGCACCATGGCTTTCTCCTGGCAGGCAGTGCTGGCCTGCAGGAAATACCTCATCATCGTCCTGGTACCCCTGGTGTTTCTCCCTCTGCCCCTGGTTCTGCCCACCAAGGTAAGGAATTTTTAAAATTCACTTTCAAAGCCTCCAAAGCCTCAGAGCGGCTTTTTTCGAGGGGGAAGAGGTTCTTTCTGCATCTGCTGCTTGGAGATCTCTTTTTTTTGTTTTTTTTCCCTGAGTATATTGGGGCTATAAAACAGCAGTGGGGCATAGATGGATGAGGAGCTGCATCTGTGGTTGCATCTTCTAGAGGAACACTCAGCGATCTGAGAGAGATTTTGTGACTCTTTCTTTGCATCTGGCTGATTTAGAAAAGGACTTTCTATGAGGACTTTCTATGCTGCACTAGGCTCTAAGGCTCTAAGATATACTAAGATATTCTTGTGCACCTAAAGCTCAATTTTAATCCCCCTTTGCATTTTCTAACAGTGTTCAGTCCACATCTTCCTTTATTTTTTTCCTTGCTGTCACTGCTGCTTAGAAAAGCCATTTTTAGACAGACAAGGCATTCTGATACATAAAGGAAAATATCACGCATTTCAGTTTTGCTTTAACTTATTTCTGCAAGAATCCAAACAAGGATTTTAAATTTAAAACACCGAGTTCTGGAGGACACCTGGCTTAGGGTTCCTTCAGGAAAAGTTGACTCAGGAGCTGCAGTACCTGGGTTGGTATTTCCAGGGTGTTGATCATTTAAAGAGAGAGCTGTGAGCTGACAGACTCCCAGTCTTCTGCTGCTTCTTCACTGTTTCTTGCACTCTCAGCCTCTTCATGCAGAAAGATCTGATCTCTGGTCTTTTTTTACAACCCCAGCACCATGGAATAGCTCATTTCAGACTGCCCCTCTTGTCACTTCTCTTTGGATTCTCAACAAATCCTCACTCTTCCCTGTGGTCTCTGCCTCCCAATCCCTGCTGATTCCCAGTTTAGATTCCTTCTCCAAGTTCCATTCTGTAATTCCCTAACCCTTCCCTTCCTACCTACCTCAGCTCTGAGTGTGGCAGCTGGTCAGCTCTCATTCCCTCACTAGGTAAATAAAATAGTTTAAATTATTACTTAAAAGCTCACCAGGAAGTCAAAAAAAAAAAAAAAAAACAAGAAAAAAAACCAAGAAAAATAAGAAGTCCCTTTTTTTGCTAGTCAACGTTCAGTAGGCAAAGGAGTCACTGAAGTGAAAAGAGATCAGGATCAGGAAAGTTCTAAGTTCTAAGGAGACAGAGAGTGATTTTTTTTTTTTTTTTGTCCTGAGGCCATGAGTTCAAACTCACTCACATTGTTACATACAGTGAGTCCTTGGAGCTACCAGTGGAGTGATTTGGCAGTCTTGGTTCAGTTGCTCTTTGAAAATGACTCTCTCTGGTTTCTATGCAGTCAGCAACCAGACAAAAATAGAAGATCTTTTCCTTTGCCACTTAAGGAAACCTTTGAGAAGGGTTTTTTGGGTTAAATTGTGCACTGTGCCACTGCTGAGCAGGAAAAGCTGGTGGTGTGAGCCAGCAGCTACAGGGTGGAATTTCACATTTTTTCTATTCTGTTCATCTATTAACCTGCCCTAAGATGACATAGCACTGGACACTGAGCTATTATAATTGAGGGCAAACAATGCTAAAAATCTTGCTTAAAGGCAGAAGAGTGTCCTTACAGGGTGTCTGACTTTGGGGAAACCCTTTTTCCAGCTTTGCCTGAAAGCCTGTTCACAGCAGGATGGAGGACAATGGCACTGTGCCCATGAGATACATCCCAAAGCTCTACCAGGGTCTCTCAAAAGGCACCCATCTGTGCCTTTTAATTACAAACATGGAGAAAAAGGATTGTCAAAAGGGCAAATTGTTCTCAGTGATCACTGGGATGAATAATTAAGGTTCTTAATGCTCTCGTTCAAAAATGAGGCTCAAAAAGGAATGTTTTAGTATCTTTGGGAATCTCTCAGACTTCTTCAGCCTGATTGCTTTGATAATTCACACCTAGATTGCTGTCTTCTTTCCTCCAAACTGATCAGCTCCCTGTTCATCCTTTCCCTTCACAGCTCTGTAACCTCCACACCACGTTCAGAATTCCTGAGCCTGTTCCCAAGAGTCTCAGATTCAATCCTGCCACCCATTATCCCAGCTCCTTGCTTTAATCCTCTGTAATCCAACCTCCAAAAGCATCACTACAGTTCATTCATACTGAGCAGTATATTTTAGTGGACATCCTTTATCCAAGACCACACATCCATGGTTTTCCTCCTTTGGCTTTGGTATCTCCCACAATTGTGCAAATTCCAAAACACAGAAGACACCAAAACCTCCTCTTACTTTCTTTCCCAACCCAACCAAATGCCACTATTGTGACAAGTAATTTTGAATCTTTTCAGTGTGCAGGGACTGGCTTAAACATTTTTACTTGAAATTTGGAGTGGTTGTCCAAAGCAGAAGTAAATCAAGGTTTCCTCAGAAAAAGAGTGACATGAAACAGGGAATCTCACTTTCCTCAAACAAACAAGACAAAGTCAGTGGAAGCTGAAATGATCTGTGACCAGTCTGCCAGTCAGCCTTTCAAAGTCTCTACTAAGCTAAAAACCCAGTGAAAAGTTATAAAAGCATTTACAGTACAAGGAGTCCAAGCTGCTGAAATTAGCTCTGGTTCACCTGGGCCATGACCTGCAGCCCGTGTGAAAACAGGCGGAGAAACCTTGACTGGATCAGCAACTGATTCTACAACTCAAGGACATAAATACAGAATATAACACCATCAGCACAATCAGAATATCTGAATATAACACCATCAGCACAATCAAGAAGCCTATTCAGTGATTGCCAATCCCTTATCATGAAAGTCCAAAGTCACCCACACTTCTTTTCCCCAGTGCTATTTTTGCCCCCGCTGAATTCCTCATCTGCTCCTCAGAGCTCTGATGAGATTGCTGCACAGTTTGACATTTGATTAGGATCTGCAGAGGTCAGAGGCTAGATAGGAAAGGAAATAACCTTTTATCTAATCCCTTTATCAGGCAGTGGATGTAATTAAGAGGCCTTGGCTTTGGAGAAGCCCCAGGTTCGATGTTCAGCGTGTTCTGATTGCTGTCCCCTTCCCTGGCAGGAGGCACTGTGTGGCTATGTGATCATAGTGATGGCACTTTTCTGGTGCACAGAAGCTCTGCCTTTGGCTGTCACAGCTCTCCTGCCCGTCCTGCTGTTCCCACTAATGAATATCATGGATTCAACCACGGTAAGAGATCTTGCTCCGTGTATTAATCAGTCAGCTGCTTTTATTCTGGGATTGCTCCCCAGGATTATATGGTGACCATCATTATATTTATGTTATTGATAGTATTATTATTTTATTTTAACTTTATTATTATTATTCTCTGTCTTCTCCATGGAGTAGACCTTGCATGAGCCCAGAGTGAGCTCTGGGTGGAGCTGCTAATCTGAAATCAAAGCAAATTCCCCATTCAGATGCAACCCTGAGTTACTCCCTGCTAATGCCTTTGGAATGAACTCCCTCAGAAAATGTCCCCCTCTCTTGTGACTCTTCCCTCTCCCCTCTCCCACCTCACAGGTGTGTCAGGAGTACCTGAAGGACACCAACATGCTCTTTTTGGGGGGCCTGGTGATGGCCATTGCCATCGAGACCTGGAACCTGCACAAGCGAGTGGCTCTGAGGGTGCTGCTGATCACGGGTGTCAGGCCAGCCCTGTGAGTGTCAGGGGTGGAAATGCTGTGGGATGAAGGATTTTATGGCATTAGACCCCATCTCTGAGGGGAATCTGCAAATCTTTCCCTGCAAATGCTTTCCTGCAGCCCAAGTGAGTTAGGGCCTGAGCAAGCCTTGCAAATGTTGAGGTCTTACACACTTGGTGTGTCTATTTTATTTTATTTTATTTTATTTTATTTTATTTTATTTTATTTTATTTTATTTTATTTTATTTTGTTTTGTTTTGTTTTGTTTTGTTTTGTTTTGTTTTGTTTTTTAACTCCAAAAGG